TACATCAAGTACGACTAAAAAGAAATCTGACTTTGCAATATTACGCCTAGAAGTTGGGGCTCTGTCTCTTTAAGAATGTCCTGATCTTTCTGAAGCTCCGCCTTCAGGGAGTCATCACAACACGGCTCCTCTATTAACCCTTTGACGTTTTTACCAGCATTTCAATGAGAAGATGCGCTGTTCCAACTGGTGTTTGCTAATTGCTGCTGGCTAGTCTAAAGGAGCCGAGAGGGGGAGTCAGGGAGGAGGGTCGCTCTGTGAGGAGGAAGCTTGGAAACTGCGTCTCAAAGGCGGAGCGAGGTCCACCCAGGTGTTGTGCACAGCTGAAGGGTTGCCATGGGAGATTAAAGGATTTCTGAATCAAAGCAACACTCCAGATGTGTTTTTGTTGAGGATAAAACATTATAACGGGATGTATAAACTAAGTTAATTGTCAGATTAGAAACTTATCTGCTGACTTTCAGTCTGCTTTCCTAGATGTAAAATCTGCTGATATCTCTGTTGTGTGTTTTGTCGTCACCCGTCTGCAGACTCAGTGTAATCAATCACCGTAAATCATTTAGAGACTCTGGTTTGGCTGCATGGGCAAAAACGAGTTAAGCTTCAGTCAAGCAGAGAGGCCGTTCGGGTGCAATGACGTTAAGTCTTGTGGTTCTTCTACAAGTCGTGCAATAAACTGCAGTCCTGCCGGAAAGCACTAAGAAAAAAGCCCACACATTTCTCAGAACAGATTCACTGCGTTTCTCTGTTCGGCCAGGTGTGAATAATCCGGCTCTAAGTCGCGCTCTGGGCTCGGAGTCATTTATTTTATGTTTCCCAGTTCTTGATAAGAAATTGCCAATAATGGAGGGGGAAATGGTGGGAACTGTTGATAAAGCAGTGTGAGACAAAGGGAGGATTTAGAGATTTGCGAGGCTCTTACGTTGTTTCTGTTTGGATCAGGTGAAACTGGAGCAGCACTTCTTTAACGTTAACTGTACTTATTCAGGTTTGACAGGAGCGGCTTGTTTTTTAGCTGCTTCAGCAGCTGGAGCAGAGGCTCGATATTTGTTTCTGCCCTTTATGTCCTTATGTACTTAAAAGTATGGATGACAGTGCAGTCATTTCCACAATTATTTACACACCTTGAACTTTCTCATATTTTCTTAAAATGGGAAGCATTTTTAAATGAAAGGAAAATTATACTAGACTTTCAGATCTTGCAGAGCCATCGTTTGTCCTGCTGGAGGTTAACCTCCGTCCAATTTCAAGTCTTTTGCAGGTATCATATTCTCTGAGAATAATTGCAAAACTATGTAGTAAGTTTTTGTTTTTATCATAATTTTTTATTTTGTAGCAATAGCACCACAAAATATTGTGATGAAATATGTCTCAGTTGCCCACCCACAAACCACATTTTATTTTCATTCCACATAACAACCATGTGACATTTTATATTGGCCGAATACAAGTCAAAGAATTGTGAAAGTTCTTCCAGGCTTTTTTTATTTTTTATTTTTCACTCTAAGCTTGGCACCAGCACTGTGCAGCTCTCACAGCAAGGACTTAATTGCCTTGTTTATTGAGTGGCTAATTAGCAAATTGAATGCAGAATAATTGAGTTTCAAGGGCTCTCATGAGAACCTGATCGGCCTCAGGAGTTGACCCCCTTCTGTAGATATGTTAAGAGGTCTGATCTCAATAAGGGAGGACTTCACAGACGACAGCCATGTTGTTTTAGTTCTGTTTCTAGGGGAATCCTGCCCTGAATATGACATGCATCCCTGTATATCACCAGCATGACTTATTATTCGTGGCTGATTGTTTGCATGGACTTCCAGAAGTCTTGTTTGGATTTTATGTGACAGACCAAGACAAACTGAGACATACTTGTGAAATGAAATGAAATTAAAAAAAAATTCCATTCTGTAAACGTAAAGTGAAATTCAAAGTATCCAGTTGTCTTCTAAAATCTCATAAGTAACAATGATAATGTGGTTAGTAAAAAAAGAGTTGCAACGAAACAGTTTAGATCAAAGAAGTCGGTCCAAAATATCGATAATATCAGTATCAAGTTGGTATCAGTAAGTTTCAATACTGGCTTGGTAAAATCGATTCTTTCAGCAGATGCTTTATTTTTACATCGTAGTTTCCCAACCCTCCCTCAAAAAATTTTTGGTTTTGATTTGTAAAAAAACGCACACAACTATGTTTTGTTTTTCTATGATTTCTACGTATAAGGTTAATAGGTTATCAAAGTATTTTTGTGGACAAATATATTCTTTATCCGGATTCCATCTTAAGTTTTAACCAAATGATTCAAAGAAAAACTACAAAAACACCTAATGGCCAAAAGTCTGATGATATATCAAACTTAGATAAGAAAAAGAATTGGTAATCCAATAAGTATCTGTACCTACTTATCGGATTAATAGTTAACTTGACATTATCGCACTTGAAAACTGACGTTCCCACAACTTCTCCGTCTAACGTGTCTGAGCTGGGACAGAAATTAAAACCTCTAGGTGTTCCGACACAACTCACTTTTCATCTGTCCATTTTTCTGTCCAATCTTTCTGTCCACTTTACAAGTACGCTGCACTTTGACTTGACCTCTCAGATAAAATCCATCTTACTTTTTAGATACGAAGCCACAAAAGCACAGAGGTGACTCTGGGTTTTAACAGGTGACTCAGTCCTTACAAGACGGATACAGGAGGAGAAGTGTTGTCCCTCCCAAAGGACACACCCCCAGGCTGTTTGCCTGTATGTGTCAATTACCTCCCGCCTCTTCATTTCTCCTCATATCAACTCAACCTTTCGTTTGTCCTTCACTGTCAAACACCTTGTTGTTATCAGACTGCAGAAATGTAACTCTCTTGCATTAACATTAATTAATTTAGCGGCCTTTCGTCAGTATGAGCAAGTTAGGCTCAAGAATGAACTTTTTTAATTAAAACTTTTATCTTTTTTTTGTTTTTAATTATTCTTTGTTAACTTCTTTAGACATCGTCGACATATTTGACAGAGGACAAATTTACTTTCGGCCGTCCCTTCAGAGTGTCCCCTCAGTGTTTCATGTCCTCTGGTCGGTGGGAAGGCCAGCAATTCACAAGTTGATGTTTACTTTTGTTGTGCTAAATATATGAACACTGTGAGTGGGTGTTTCCTGCGCTATGCGGGTGCCAGTTGAGCGTGTTTGTCAGCAAGAAACATTGACTCAGTTTGGTGCCAGAGGCATTAATTGAGGCATCAATTAAAGAAGTTAACGAGTTTGCTTAATGAGACGAAAACTCTGCTTGTGTTTCTGACGTCAGACTCGCCAGACGGGGGCTGCTCCTACAAGAAAAAGGTCAGGCTTTTTTCATGCCGTCTCCTTCTAGTCGCAATGCTCATCGTCTCGTCCTCTGTCCCTCGGTCTGAGTTCTGCTTCTGCCATTGTTTGTTTCTCGTCCTTTTCTGAAAAGCAGCAAAAAAACAAAACAAAAACAAATTAATGCCATTGAACTTTGGTCTTAGTGACTAAATGGGACACTTTTTTTTTTGTTTCCATTGAGCAGTAGAGCGTGGTTCGGTGAGCCTGGCTAGCAGCATCCTTGAATGCTTTGGAGGTGTCGTAATACTCCAGAATCTGAGCTGGTGGTGTCCTGTGGTCGTCGAATAAACTGGAGCCTGAGAACGGAGCCTTGTAGTACACCACGTCTGATCTTTGTTTGCTCTGATTTATAATTACCAATGATCCCTCTGAGGATTCAAGGACTTGTGGAAAACCAGGAGAGAGAAGAAACTCTGAAATGTTTCAGGTGGAACGGAGTTGAGGATGTTCCTGAAAAAAACTCGAAGGATCCACATCCAGGCTGCAGTTGTGGAAAAAAGGTCAAGAGGGACAAACAGCACAGACTTACTGAGCCTCACAATGATAGCAAATAATATTTGGACATTATGACTGTTTTTATTGACAATTTCAGAGAAATGTGATTTCCTTGTTTTTCTTGCCTTAAAATTCTGAGATGTTCTATTAAAAAATGTCTAAAGGTACCTGCATTTTCTTTCTGTTATCCAACTTCTGTTACCTTCTTCCAAGATGACTTTCTCTTCTGTTATTTAACTAAATCAATATTAAAATCTCCCACTATAAAGATGAGGTTAGACTGAATTGTAGATTGCTATTTGGGAAACTTACCATAATACTCAGCTCTGTATTTTGGTGTAACTGTGTCCTAATTTCCCTCGTAATGCTCATAAAATTAGGATGGGGGTTTAATTAAAAAGCCTGCATTTTATCTAGGAACATTTGTGTATGTTCTGCTCACTTTTCAACTTTTATTTAGCAAATAATTTAACAATAATAGATTTTTTTAAGGTTCATTTTGTGGTCATGCCCCCGGTTCTTTTGTTTAATTGTGACAGTACAGATGAGTTTGAAAACTTGAAAATTTGCTTGAAAAAAATCCTTAAATTTTGAAGTTAATCTAAAAAAACAAATTATAAACAACTTTTCTCACTTTCAAAAGTGGAAAATTTCCAAAAGTAAAAACTGTTGAACTTTTTAATGTTCTCTTTTTATCCTCCAGAAAATGTTTGAGATTTATCTTAAAATTTCTGCATGTTTCCTTATTTTTTTTTTCCAAGGAAATTTTCCTCTTTTTAAATTCAGGAATTTTCCCATTTTTTTCTAGAAGATTTCTGAAATGAATCTCAAAGTTTCAGGGGGGCTTTTTGTTGCAAATTTTCAACTTTAGAAGCTCAGAAATATCCACTATTTTTTCTCAAAGATTTTTAAAATGAATCCCAAAATGTCAGCAATTTTTCTCACCAATTTTCCACTTTTCAAAATCAGAAATTTCCATTTTTTCTCTAGAAAATTTCTGCAATTAATCTCTAAATTTAAGTTTGTTTGTTTTTTGGGGGGGGGGTTGCATAAATTAATTCCTTCTTTTGTTTATTTTCCCCCCTAATCCACCGTCGTGGATAAATGATGACACTGACCTTGTGCTTCCTCTCTGCCCTGTGTCACGCAGCAGACGGTGGGACCATGAGGACCGTAGCGGCTCTGCTGCTTCTCTGTCTGTGCGATCCAGGACGGAGTGACTGCCAGACTGACTGCCTGTCCTGCAGCAAAATCCTGCCTAAACAGCTCAGTTTCAACACTGTGGTAAGACAAACACACATATACACACACACACAGTTTCAGTCTCAGTCACTGGTTGCTATCATCTGAAAGCTCTGTTCAACGTCCAAGAAGCATCTCTCAACATGATGTTGGTGGCAGACATCATGACATTACTTGTAGAGAATTGAACGCCACTTACATGAATGATCTCGTGCGAAACCTAGTATCTCCTTCCGACTTGAAACTCTTCACCCCAGACTCGTATTTATTCTGCACTGTCAGCCTGACTCAACGAATGATCCTTTTGGCATTTGAGTTTTAATTTGTTGAGGCTAATTGATTCCCGGGGACAGATGTGTGTTTCTTCCCTCTGTGCCTGCAGGTGATTTCTGCCTGGATAAAGACATGTCTGCGTCTCAGAGGAGTCTTTGTAGATGGCACGCCTGAAGACGTTTAAATTTCGACAGTTTAAAAAAACTTTAAGCCCTAATCTGTTTATGTTTGACGCCGGGATCACGGTGGTATTTACAGGGAACCCAGTTAGGAGGGGAATCGGCTATGGAGTGGGTTAAAACTTCACATGTAGTCACCATAGCGCTGGCTGCTATAATAATTGTGGCTTTTTATTAGGGCAATTATTTAATTTGATCATTCTGGAGATCAAATAAATATAAAGAAAATTTTTGCGAAGCTAAATTAAACTTATGTAAAGATTGTTATCATGCTTAGACGTATATAGTTGCCATTTATACTTTGGTGGGAAAAAGAATCATAAGAAACCCAACTTGGAGATTGCCCCAAACCCAAAGGGGAACATGAAATCTGTGGCAGAAGATACACTGAAAAAAACGACACAGTTTTGGCCTTCGTGCAAAATCCTTTATGTGACAGAACACAAATTTTAAGATTAATCTCTGCTTTAAGCACGAAAAACAAAACAACTTCAGTTCACATTAGGGTTATTGTGATACAAAATTGTTCATGTTGATATTTGATACCATTTGTGGCCCATTACAGCTGGACAGTGCTTTCACTGCCTTAACTAGGACAATAAAAGTAGGTCATTCACCATTCATTTAGAAATAATCAGAAATAATAATTTTATTTGAAATAATTATTTCATTTGAAAGTGTTGCTATCTTCATGTACATCATAACTGTAGATGAGAAATTTAGCTTGGGTTCGGTTGTGAAGTTGATTTGACTTTTTTTAATAGTGTAAACATGGATCTGGTTCATAGCTGAAGCTCTGTTCAGTTTTTTGTGTCGTCTTTTTTGATTAACTAAAAAAAAGGTTGTTCCTTGTTTACATGCCTCAGAAGTAAAACATGTCCCCACAGTCCTTTTACTTTGGGGGGTTTTTTTCTCAAAAAAGTGTTGAAAAGGTTTTTCTCCAGACATGCTTGCTTCGTTAGAGGAGATTTGAGCTTCTAGCAGCGGATCACTTCAAGTACTGATCCGTGGATGTTCAGGTGAGCTGTTCTCAGAAAGCTACGTCTCTGTCTGACTGCAAAGCTGCTGTGAAAACTTGAGGAGATCAACTATTATTATTTTTTGGCATTGATTATGTTAAAAAATGTGTCAATTTAACTTTGTCACTTTTTTGTAGGAGCGCATCGATTGCAATTTTCTGCCCAATAACCAATTTTTAAAAAGCCTAACCTGCCAATTCCGATTTTTGCCAATACTGATTTTTTTTGTCTGAAAAGTTTCTAAATATAGCCAGAAAGTAGCAAAATTGGCAACAGAGGGGTGGCTATATTTAGCACTTGCTGATTATACCGGTCAAGTCTCCTGTTTTTGCCCCCCTCTCCCTCTGTGTATTTATTTTTCTGTAAATATCTCGCATTGTGCAGCCCCGGCTCCCATGTTAATTGCTCCACCTTCCTTCTCTTACATCAGTAGATCCCTTACCTTCCATTCTCCGGCCCCTTTTGACAGTAGCACCAGGAGATGACATTTCTCGGTGCCTGTCAAGTTCAAAACTTGACAGGCATGAAAACTTGACAGGCATGTTGCTGCTGTGACCTGGTGGCCCTGGCTGTCAGTCAGCCATCTCTCATTACAGATCAAAAAGGGACAGTGGTTGATTTTCATATAAAAATCAGTGGATAAGATCATTTTCTCATAAAAGTATTGGCAATTCGCCAATTTCATAAAATCAATTAAGTCGAGGCCTACTTTTCAGTCATTCATACAAAAACAATTTTCAAAACCATTTTTCTTGTAATATGAACCTTCGATGATGGATTTGTCTTATTAACTCGGTTCATAAAAGGAAGAGGATGATCTCTTATTTCTATCTCTCACAGGTGTGTTTGATTGGATGCAAAAGCAGCGCCTCTCCTTCCTCCTCCTGGGACATCTGCCGTAAAGCGCTACCTTCTTCTTCCCCCGATGGCACCATTAGAAGAAGATCCCAAGAGGAAGCTGATGTCCTACTTCCTGAGGAAGAGGAGCAAGTGGATGGGGGTCTATTCCTGCCCATGGCTTTGCAGAGATTCAACCACATGACCCGCGCACTCGACCTGAACGACAGGGGCCTGGTCGGCCAGAGCAGCCAGCTGAGCTCCCTTTACGGCTCCCAGGATGCCCTGTCGCTCGCCGATGAGTACGAGGAGGAGCAGGCAGGGCAGGAAGGGGAGGACGCCGGCGAGGCAGCGAGAGGGCAGGACGACCCGGAGCTTAGCGTCTCCAAGAGGTTCGGCGGCTTCGTCAAGGGGAGGCACGGCTACAGGAAGTTGGTCTCTCCGGGAAAGTCGTACCAGAAGAGGTACGGGGGCTTCATCGGGATCCGGAAGTCGGCCCGCAAGTGGAACAACCAGAAACGCTTCAGCGAGTTCCTGAAGCAGTACCTGGGCATGAGCGCCCGGTCCACCGAGTTCAACAGCGTCTCGGGAGAACTCACCCGGCAGAATGAGGTGTGAGGGAGCGGCCCTCCAGAAGGCCTCGCCATGACAGACATACCAGATGTGTTTTCAGTTGTCTTCTGTTAGAGCAGAGAACATTTCACAGTTAATCTGTCAACATTACAGTCACACAATTTGATTAAGTACATAAAAAAAACCAACCCCATCACAGCTTCTGGGTGTATGAACAGTCTCTCCCCCCAATCTTTTCTATTTATAGCTTCTTTCTTTTTTTTTTTAAATCCTGTATAATGAATTTGGAAAAAAAAATGCTTCTTTTTCTAAACCGGAATCCTTCTTACAGTGGGGAAGCTAAATCATGTTAGAAGTTACTTTCCACGTCTTAAAAAAGCATAAAGAAGGATTCGAAAAGTGGAATTACATTGAAACGTTTTCCGACTTTGTACAAGAATGAACATAAAAGAAAACCATGCATAGGAATGTATTTCATTCCCCCCATTTGCTCCATTGTATCCATTTAACTCTTTAAGGAAGAGTTAGGAAATCTGAAAATCTGAGTTAGGAAAAGTGACATGGAAATCTGTTGGGCATCTGTCCTCTTGAGATTCGCAAAGAAACTAAATCTAAAATTCCTGCTTTTTGAAAATATTCTGTGGCACCTTGCAAACATTTTTGCTTCCATCTCGTCTGCTTCGGGCCTCGTTGCGGCTGAAAATTTGAGCACTTTCTTTTTTTCGTATGTCGCCATCGAGTGGACAAATATGTATAGCAGTCCAAAATGAAATGTAATGTCTGTTTGTTTTTTTTTTGTATTCTTTCCTCTGTTTTTCATGCTCTAGTCTCTTGGTGATAAAAAAAACAAAAAAAGTTCAGCAGCACTGTATCTGTGTTTGACTTATGTTGAAAAAATTAAAATGTATAAAAATCCACATTTAGATTTTGTCGCTCAATATCTCCAGAATCGTAGAACTGATACAGATAAAGTCACTCAACTCGAACAGCTCCAGACAGCATGCAGCATTCATTCAGACTTTATGACAGTCATCAGTCTTGATTATGCTGTGCACAGTTGAGCATACCCTTTGACGGCCTGTTGTGTTTGAATACTTGTGTGTCATATTTGTCTCTGAACTGTTACAGATGTCAAATGTTTTGTCTTGTAAATAACTGAACTGAAACATGCCAATAAATATAGTTTACTATTTCCTTCGTGGCTTGTCATGCAGGAACTGAGTCTGCGTCTTGTAAGTGTTTTGTTCCTAAGACTCGTCATTGCTTCTTATGATGCTGTTTCAGTGTTTAGTTGTGTTTTCAAGTCGCTTTAGGGAGGATGATTTTACAACTTTTTTTATACCATCTTTATTTGGTATTTATTTGTGTTTTAAAACAGAATAAGCACTTGTTGGTCTCTTACTCTCTTGTAAACAAGTTTTTAAAAAAAAGTGCAAATGACTGAAATGGTTTGTCATAAAAAAGAAACACTGGGATTATTACTCTTCACTCACGCAGTTAACATCAGAAAATCAGCCTCCAAACGATCCAACACCACCAGTTTTTTATTTCAAATATGAGAAAATAGCATCAAATTTGATATTAAAATGCATCAGAACCTCCCGAACCTTTTAGGGACAAAGGCGTAAGAAAATGGATGGATGGATGGATGGATGGATGGATGGATGGATGGATGGATGGATGGATGGATGGATGGATGGATGGATGGATGGATGGATGGATGGATGGATGGATGGATGGATGGATGGATGGATGGATGGATGGAGACACGCTAGAGGAAGAATGAAAAACACTTTCACTTATTTCTACTCTACAAATTGTATCTGAAGAATGTCACTTTCCTAAAGCTTTGTGCCAAATTTCAATCATATTTCGGGTGAGTGTAGTTTGGAAATACATTTTTCCTCTCAAACCAGTTTTAACATTTCATCACAAAAATGCAACGAATAAAACCAAAAGACACAAATCAAGAACAGCAAAATAAAAAAGACAGTCACAGCAGATGATTACGATGGTGCAGCAACAATATAACAATATGTTAACATACTCCACCTGAACACCCTCTTTCTCCAGACCGTATCTAGCTATACGTATGTGATTCGTGTTCTGAATAGATAGTATGCAGTTTGCTCGGCACACCAGATGAAAGTAAATTTAGATTAAAAAGCACCTTGGTTTCTTATTACAGCCTTCGAAAGGTGTGATGTTGTTAGAAAGTTGGATCTCAGGATAAGTCTGTTGACTTTCTTACACAATCAAAAAGTGGGCCTGGTCTGCAGAATATCCTGGGCTTTTTATTTTTGCCCCTGGATCTGAAGTATTCACAAAAATAAAAACAGTGTAGTCAAAGTAAAAAACTAAATCAAGGGGAATAAAACTGATCCTGACATTTTTAAAGGACGATTCTGTCCTCCGTCAGCATGTACACGTTTGGTTGGAAATGTAAAAAGTGTAATAGGTTAAACTGGTGTGGCTGACATTGCTGTCCAGTTGTGAAATACAGTGTTGACCATGTTGGAAATGGCATAAAGGTTTTTAAAAAATGCGTGATTTGCAGGCGAGATATTATCAAAACTGACCACGGATCAAACTGTGTTTAGTGGTCCTTGTTGCTCAGTTTCGACTCCGGAGTGAAACGGAAGTCAGAAAATAAAAGTGGAAGCGTGAGCGTAAAACGGGGCGTGTGACTTTAATTTGAAGTTCCACACCGGAAGTGGCGCTTCCACTTGAAGCTAGCTTGATTCATGTGGAGACTTCCACTCGTATCGGTCCTTGCTCTCCCCCACTTTGTTTGTAAACCGACAGCGACGGACAGACTTGGCTGACAAGGTGAGTTTAAGGCCGCCGCGGGCAAATGAAATGTGTCAGACATGTGGTTTGTGTATTCTGTCGTTCGGCCGAATGAAGATGCAAAGTAGTGAACATTAGCTAGCGCCTGCTACAAGCTACGCAGTGTAGCTTCAGTCAACCCTGATAAGTTAAACCCGGCCACCATAAAGCCTCGCAATGTCAGGGCGGCATTTATGTAACTTAAAAAAAACGGGGCTTGCTTCGGCCGTTTCACCTCTGAGCTGAGTTCGCAGAACAATTTATGTGTCAAAAGTGTCGCCAGCTAAAGCTAGCGGTCCAGCTACAGGGAGCTTTCATAACAACAGAGCCGTCTTCTGTTAACTCTTGTTTTCATCTTGCTGCTCCTCCAAGACTCCTGCTGCTCTTTAAATGCGGACCACAAAACTGCTGGGTAAAATAGCCCGTCTTACTCATGAAATAGACCGTGTAACCTCTGGCACGCTTGCTGCACCAGCATTTAAACCGTAAGGATCACTTGTTGACCAAACCTTCCTCACTGAAGCTCTGTGTTTGTGTTTATTTGCTGCAGAAAGCACAGCCATGTGCAGCTGTATGCGGAGCTCCAGGGCCATGGCCCCTGCGCTGCTCCCCAGGCTGCTGCTCCCTCAGATGGGCTTCAGGCTGGCAGGCAGGGGGCTCTGGACCTCCCCGCAGTGTCTGGCTGTCAGCGGGGACTCCCAGCTGCCCCCTGTACCAGGCCAGGCCCGGGTGGTGATCTGTGGAGGCGGGATTGTTGGAACATCAGTGGCCTACCACCTGGCCAAACTGGGCTGGACGGACATCATTCTCCTTGAGCAGGGCAGGTGAAATGAAAACCCTATATTATATTTAAAGGGGCACAATTATGTATTTACCAGGCACAGAGTGTCATTTTACTACACCAACTCCATTGGTGCAACTAGCTACGTTACTTTCAGATTATTTCAATGTGCTTAGCAATTTAAAATCTGGCAATTGGGCCTCTATCTCTTTAAGAAGCTTTTGCTCTTTCAAGATATCATCACAGTTCCTCAATTAAGCCTTTATCATTGCTCTGAGGAGCTTTGCACTGAGAAGTAGATCTGAAGCTCTACCAGGTGCTTGCTAATTGCTGCTGGCTAGTCTGAAGGAGCTAAGTGGGTGAGTTGCAGGGAAGGAGTGCTCTGTAATGCAGAATTTCACCTGGAGACAAAGAAAAAGTGCTCCTTGGTGATGGCAAGGATTTTGCATTTCCCATGGCAGCCATTTGGAGCCAAAATGATTTATTACACATGTATAAAAGAATCAAAGCAACAAAAAGCATGTTTTTGATGAGGGAATAACATTACAACATGATGTAAAACTAAAAAAAAGTTGATTTTACATCACTGTGGTCCAGCCTTAAATTGGGTCATATTGGTCTGCAGGAGATCATAAGGCTAAATATTATGTCTTATTCATATTTTGCATTTCGCCCAGGCTCGGTGCAGGAACAACCAGACTCTGTGCTGGCATTCTCAGCATGGCTAAGCCCATCTCCATCGAGTCTCAGATGGCCAACTACTCCAGCAGCCTTTACCAGCAGCTAGAGGAGGAGACCGGCGTCAAAACAGGTTAGGTGCTTTCACAGCCTTCTCTCATATTCAGCTTTTGATGCTGGCAATAAAGGGAGAATTACAATGTGTAGCTTCATCATCATTAACTAGAGCTGACAAATACAAATAACATTTTGCACCTCCTGTCTTTGCTGTGCCTGTACTAGCATCTGTGTCGGATATGATTAATTCAATTTGTTCTAGACATCCAGAAAGGAGTACAATGTGCCTCTGAAATTGTTTTTTTGCATTAATATCTTCCCGTTTGCATTTTATATTGACCATATAAAATACTTTTTGGGAAGGTTATGCGCTGCAATTTAATATTTTTGTAAGGCTGTGTTAATGTCAAAACTAAAGCTTGTAAAAATGTGCAACTTTGACTGCAGCTTTTGGAAAAAGGTGCTGCAAAGTCAGCCATTTTAGGTCGCAACAATCACAAAAAAAGAACAACATTGCAAAAGTTCTGGAGGGACTAAATGCAACAATATACACAGATGGTTTAGCACATTCATGAATTATAGTCAGTCCAGATTGAAATCCCGACCGTCTCTCATCAAATCTAACGAAGCAAAACCAAAGAGAAGTGGTTTGAAATCTCCATGTTTAGATGTATAAAACTAGCAGTGATGCATTGAACTTTCTTTCACTTCATTGGCATTTTCTGTCTGGGGTTGACCTGTCAGATGAAATCTAAATAAAATACATTGAATTTGTGGTTTTTAACTTGACAAATAAAAAAAAAAGAATCTATAAGCATTTCTGACTCAATACTTGTGTGTGTGTGTGTGTGCGTGCGTGCGTGTGTGTGTTGGATTTCTTATTATTTTCCAGGTTATGTAAAGACTGGCTCTTTGTGTCTGGCACAAAATCAGGATCGCTTCATTTCACTTAAGCGCCTGGCAACGAGGCTCAAGTAAGACAGGCGATTGAACTCATTAGTGTCCGGGGCTACAGGGGTGTAGGCGGATGCCATCGATTTGCTTGATTTAAAGACGGTAAAGAACAATGAAGTTCCTAATTTATCCACAGAGTGTTGGGGATCAATTGTAACATTATCAAACCCAAAGAGATTGCCAAACTCCACCCTCTAGTCAACATTCATGACCTGGTGGGGGCGCTGCATCTCCCCGATGACGCTGTGGTGTCCTCGCCCGACGTTAACCACGCGCTGGCCGTGGCTGCCGCCCGACACGGTAACTTCAGAGGAAACCCTGACTTTGCCCCATTTTTGTCTCTCTCTCTACCTTCCTCCTCGTATTTCATTTCTGTTGGTTTTCAGGGGTCCAGATTCTGGACCGGACCGCCGTTCAGCAGGTGGTGGTCGAGAAGGGCCACGTTGTGGCTGTGGAGACCGATCGCGGCTCCATTGAGTGTGAATACTTTGTCAACTGTGCCGGTCAGGTAAAACTCATGCGCTTGAGACTGGGTGCATATTATTTTCATTGACATTCAACAAGATTTCTGCGAATCCTCATAAAGCCTTAAATTCATGTATTTAAAATTGAGGCCTTAAAATGTCTTAAATCCATTGGAAGATATGCAAGTTGGCCTTAAATACATTAACCATCAGTCTTAAATTAATCTTTAATCTTGTATATTCTATATAGTTTTCTCATGGAACTTTTCTATCAGGCTAAAGTTTGAGTCGACACAAGGCGGTTGAGGCTACCGCTAGCTAGCTGCTGACAAAACCTTGCTAGCTAACTAGCTTTATTGCAAATGTCTTGGGTGGGTCTTGTTTATTAGGTTCATGCAGTCATCTGGTGCTTCCTCTCCGTCTGTCT